GCCCGGGGCGCCCCTCTCCACCCCGCGCTGCCCTCGGCCGCTGACATGTGTGCCGCCGGGATGCCGCTCCTGTCGCACATCTTCCGAGGGACGTTCGTCCACTCCACCTGGACCTGCCCCATGGAGGTGCTGCGGGATCACCTCCTGGGAGTGAGCGACAGCGGCAAAGTAAGCGGGCGCGGGGTCTGGCGCAGCCCGACGGGCGGGCGGGTGGAAGGAGCGGCGCCCGGTGCCCTGCGAGCCCAGAGCTCGCTCCGTGCAGAGCGAGTGCCAGCCCCGGAGTAGAACTCGAGGGCTTGGCCGCGGGGGGAGCCGGAAGACTCCTGGCGGGCCCGGGAGGAGCGTGTTCCTAGAAGCCAAACAGGTGTCCCAGAAGCCGGGAGCCCTTGGGCGACAGCCGTCCAGGCTGTCGAGGAAGGGGAGCGAGGCTGTGCCCTCGCAAATCCTAAGAGATTGTTACTAGACTAGAACCTTGTCTATCAGGCGCCTGGCTTAGGCTAGGCGCTTTGTAAATGTCTCATGAAAGGAATAACAGAAGAGGGGAAATTTGATCAGTGTTCTTAGTCCTCTCAGTGCATAGAATCAGCAAAGTACTAATTTCATTCATGTGATCATTCCACAGACAGTATGCTTACTAATGACTCAAACTAAACTTGGAATCCTAAAAGGAGAGTCTGCAGAAATTATCCACCCCACTCCCCCAACACACACCCAGAGCCATTTGCATCACAGCAAGCAGTTCCATTTTAAGGTGCAAAATGTCTCCTACCCGTGTATCTTCCACACTTCCTTTTCCAAAGTCAGGTTTCTACAAACAACACGGGGAACTTGATGTCTGCTATTTACTGTTCCATATGCATCGGTGCTCACTGTAGTGGTGTGGCCAGTTTGATAAGTGAAAGGCATTCCATTTGTTTAGAAGGAAAAAACTAAGATGGGGATGGGATATTTTTAAGCTTTCCCCCACCAGTTTGTTTAGGAAAAGTACAGGTATTGTGACTTGTCAGCTTGAAGATGCTATTCCTGACTAAAAATTCTTCCGAGTCAGTGAGAGTTTTAAATAATGACTCTTACATTTGGGGATAACTAGACCTTGTTTTCTTATGGTGCTTAAAAAAAAAAATTCTCTGTGCGTATTCAGGGAGCCTGCTCTGGTATTTCCAAGGTGATTGAACTCTCAGAGCTGCTCCAAATGGGGAGATTCCCATAAACCCCCAGACTGATGCACTATTGCCTTGAGTACTTTACCCCCAAAGTTTCAGGGAACTCTTAGGCTCAAGGAAAGTCCCAGGAAACCAATGAACAGAGACTGCTAAGCTGGGGAAAGGCCAGAGGAGTTTGCCTAACCACAAGGAGCTGTTCAACTCTTAGGGTTCTTTTTTTTTTTAATTAATTTCCCATATCCTGAATTTTAATTGGTAGGGTAGCAGGCAACAAAGTGAGTTTGAGGACTGGATTTAACCAGTGGAGAGGAATAAGAAAAGAAAGTAATTTATCTAAAAAAAAGTTACCTTTGCTAGGTGTTGTACAGAAGAAGAATCAAAGAGAATCTCAAACATGCAATTAGTAGTTGAGTCAGGAAGTCTATCCTATCTAGGGGACATACTGAAGTAATATATTTAGAAAAATGCCATTTCCCCACAAAATAACATTAACTAGGAGTTGAATGCAAAGGTGAGTTCATTAAGTGGCTTCAATTTGTGGTGTAAAATGCCCCCATCACTGAATTGGTAACTGTTGACAGCTCTGCTCTGAAGTACAAAGCAGTTGATTTCTGACTGCATACAGGGATAATGTGCCATCGATATGTCAAGACTTGATTTCCCTCATTTTCAAAGTGCGAATGCCTCTCCTTTAGAGCTGCTGGGATATTATCTTATTTACTTAAAAATTATATCTCCATGAAATAAATCTGAGGAATCATCATGGTCTTTACATTTTTACTGAGCTCTGAGAGCTGTTCTCACACCGTGGGATGAATCAGAGCCATTGAGGGGTGCTTGTGACAGTGCTGGGTCCTGGGCATCATCCTCTGAGAAGGTGAATCTGTAGGCCTGGAGGGGGCCCCAGGAAGTGGCATTCCAACAACAGGCCCTGGAGGTTCCAACCCAGGTCATGGGTGGATTACATGTTGGGTAACCACAGTAAGTAGGTTGTGTGATAGGATCAGTTGTGTCTGGTCTTGGGAGCTTAGTTCTCCACTTTGAGCTCAGTCCTGGGGTAGCATCTCAGAGAGAGGGGACATGACTTCCTCTGTCCCTCTCTCTCTCCCTTCTAGACCTCATCCCTTATTTCATATAAATTCATTTTGGCTCAAAGAATGGCAATGACTCACTACTTTTAGTGTGTTAATTAAAGCTCATTCAAAATTAGGTTAATTAAAATTAATTCTCTAGTCAATATTTTATTATGGGGCATTTTGAATTCAGAGTTAGTTTTTCTACTCAAGTGACATGTAGCTTTTCAAAAGAAAGACCCAGCCTGTATAATTCATTTGCAGATATTTAATTAATCGTGAGACACTGTGTGCTCACATATTACTAAACTGCCTGATTCCACATGCAGCAGGGTCAGGTTGACTTTAAAGATACATAAAGATGCTTTTGGTCTTTTAAAATATTTTTATTGATTTCATAGAGGAAGGGAGAGGGAGAGAGAGATAGAAACATCAATGATGAGAGAGAATCATTGATCGGCTGCCTCCTGCACTCCCCACACTGGGGCTCAAGCCTGCAATCTGGGCATGTGCCCCAACAGGGAATTGAACTGTGACCTCCGGGTTCATAGATTGACACTCAGCCACTGAGCCACACCTGCCAGGGAAGCTTTTGGCCTTTTAATGAACACTTACATGGAGGCAAGAGCAAGAAAAAGAATCATTTGGAGGTAATGTCCTGGGGTAGCAGGAGAAAGTCCTGTGGAGAAACAGAGACCTGGGTTCAAGTTCGGTCTTTACCGTTTACCTGCTCACTTACAACCTATGTGAATTTGATTAAGTTATTAACAATTTATTTCTAAGTAACCTTTTTTTAAAAAATATATTTTTATCGATTTTTTACAGAGAGGAAGGGAGAGAGATAGAGAGTTAGAAACATCGATGAGAGAGAAACATCGATCAGCTGCCTCCTGCACATCTCCCACTGGGGATGTGCCCGCAACCCAGGTACATGCCCTTGACCAGAATCGAACCTGGGACCTTTCAGTCTGCAGG